CTGCTGTTGGCTGGCCGTGGGCTCTGCCTGTAACCGGTGCCTTTGCAGAAAGACCTGATCGTGCAGAGCGAGATGTACCGCGTGATGAAGATCGACGCGCTGGCCTCCTCGCACCCGCTCTCCTTCCAGGAGGACGAGATCAAGACGCCGGCGCAGATCAGCGAGGTCTTTGACGCCATCGCCTACAGCAAGGTGAGGGGCCCTGCGGGGAGAGGGTCCCGTGCCGCCCCTCCCACTGCTGTTTTGTGCCTACTGGTGGTGCACGTCGGCACCGGTGTCGGTGCACGGAACAACATGTATTCCGCACGCGGCTGGGGAGGGGAGGGAGCGGTGCCCCTCTTCGCTCAGCGCCTCTCTCCGCTCTCCCGCAGGGGGCGTCGGTGCTGCGCATGCTCTCCGAGTTCCTCACCGAGGAGCGCTTCAAGCAGGGGCTGAAGGTAGGTGCCCGCCGGCAGACCCGGCTTTGCCCAGCAGAGGGGCTGCCGGCCCGGTCCCCGGGGGAGGGCTCTTTGCCGGGGGGGCCTGCCCCGGGCTGGGTGGGCCCACTCGGCACACGCACAGCCCCGCTCAGCCGGGGTTTCGTGTGCGCATGCTCTCCGAGTTCCTCACCGAGGAGCGCTTCAAGCAGGGGCTGAAGGTAGGTGCCCGCCGGCAGACCCGGCTTTGCCCAGCAGAGGGGCTGCCGGCCCGGTCCCCGGGGGAGGGCTCTTTGCCGGGGGGGCCTGCCCCGGGCTGGGTGGGCCCACTCGGCACACGCACAGCCCCGCTCAGCCGGGGTTTCGTGCTCGCCCGGGGGGCGGCCCCCCCCCCCCCCCCGCCTCCCCCTCCTCTCCACAGTCCTACCTCCAGACCTTCAGCTACGGGAACACCGTCTACGACGACCTGTGGACCCACCTGCAGAAGGTACGCGGCTCCCCCACCGGCCACCCCACTGCAATACGGTCCTGCAGCCACCTTGCCCCACACACGGGCTCCCTGTGGCCCCAGCAGGCACATGATCAGGCCTGGTGCCTGGCACACGGCCCCGCTGGGCACACCCGAGGCACACGGGCAGGCCTGGCACACGGCCCCGCTGGGCACA